GAGAACATGATTATATTCGCCCTGGCTCGAATAAAAACGCTTAGCACACTGCTATAAGCTTATCAAGTTGACATTACCAAAGCTGCCTTTACATATGTATATTTTATTAATTTAGCCCACTGAAGATTATGTTGAAAGCAAAGTTGTATATGTTTTCCAAAAAGACAGCTAAGCAAACAACATTGTATAGTATTTATATAAAGAAAATTTATCACTTCGTTTTTCGGCTACTACATACAATTTTAATTTAAAATAAAGCATATAAATCAATATCTAAGAATAAACCTAAATTACAAAATAATTATTATTGGCGAACGATAGTCTGCCACGTGAATCAAATTCGCAAATATACATATACAGATATACATACCCAGTGGGAATTAGGAGCACGTAATAATACCTTATTAGCAACTTACTCTTCACCTGGCAGTCATTACCATTTACCTGCCGAACGTCCCTTACTTTTACAAAGGCATGGCCGCCTTATGTAAGTAGGAATTTAGAATGTACATTTGGTATCAGACATACTTCTGAGCCGCTATACAAAGTAAGTTACGTGTAATGCAGAGCAGTCGCTCGGAGTAGTTCGGTGCTTGGAAATAACTTCGGCTGCACGTTATTTTGCAACTGACAACGTAATGTGTCTTCGGAGGTGTTCATTTTGCCCTTTACTAGTAGATGACATTAGCCATGATGACAATTTTGGTACTAAAAACTGAAAGAAAACATGGCTTACCTCGGAAGGTGCTTACCTATTTTCCCAGTGGGTATATACATACATATTTACATGCTTGCTATTTATATATGTATGTATGTCAAAAATTAACAAAGTAGTGAAAATATTTAAAATAAATTAGCAATTCAGTCTGCATATGTATGTATGAATATGTAAGCTACCGAAAATTGTTGAAATTGTGAAAATTAAATTTTCAGTAAAATTATGCTATTTTATGATACCTGCAATTATTTTTGCCTTAACATACATATGTACATACATATGTTTCATAAGTTTGCATATTTAGTAATTTGCAAACATTATACCACTTTGTATTTGGTATAAGCAAATGTAATTGCATAGTATCTATAAGTTTGTAATTTAGTTGGGGAGAAACAAAGTTTTTAAGAGAAATGTCTAGTTGTCAATAAATTACGCCAACTAAATTTTTATAAACTGTAAAGTCGAAATACAAAAAAAAGCACCATACAGTGCTTGAAAACTTTGTAATACAAATGCACGTGGGCAAATCTCCGGAAAAGTGTGCTTTTGTGTCAACACTCATTTAAATTAATTTTATAAACGTAATTTTACATTTTATCAAAAACTTGGGCCATTTTGATAAAAAGTTTGGCGAGTACTTATAACTTGTTAAATTTTTTTTTTTTTTATAGCCAAGCGCACTTGTGCACAAGGGTAGTATAACTTTGTTCACATAACGGTTGTTTGTAACAGCCAAAACGAATCGAGATATATATGTATATAGGGCGTTCCATGGCAAAATCGACGGGGTTCACACTTCATGTGTTTGATTTGTTTCAAATTTTTAGAGTTGATGGATAAACATACATAAGTAATAAATATATAATGAAATTTGAGCTTGATTAATACATTACAATAAAAACTTTACAGCACAAAAACAAAAACAAATCGATTTTATAGTTTTCCAAATATTCCGAGAACGGAGCTAGGAAAAAATTAAAAAAAATTCACACATACACTCATCAAAATTCTCTATGAAAAGAAATATTAAAAAAAAATTTTTCTTGAAAAATTTTTCACATACAAATTTTTCTCTATGAAAAGAATATTAAAAAAAGTTGTTTGCCAAAATTTTTTTTTATATATATTACGAACCGTTAGAAAACTCACACCTATTCGTTTGAAAGTATCAAAATAAACCTTAACAGGAGCAGCTTTATAATTATTGCTAACACCTGCCTAGATATCATTGCTTCATCGCCACTTTTTTGCTACCCATTTAATTTTTTTTTACTCATTGGAATACAGATTGGTTCAAAATAAGACAAAACGCAGAAAATCGTGGAAAAAAGTTTCCACAAATTTAATTACACATTTCTTAATACAAAGATTTGCATTTTTTTCGCAAAAATTTTATAGCGTAAAATTTACATACATACATTCGTCATACATAGGTACAAACATACATACATACAAACAATACAGACAAAGGTAAACAAAAATTTTGATTGCCATCGATTGCACGAGCGTTTTGACCTTGCCACGCTTTAAAATTTTTTTCTATAATTTGCCGATATATACTCGTTTATGTACATATGTAAGTACGTATGTATTTAGGAATGTGCATAGAATATAAAATTTTAATAAATTAAAGTGTGGAAAATGCCGACAATACACGTACACATTTGTTTATTTGACCATAGCGTGTGGCAGCTAATTCGGTCGGGAGCAGAGCGGATGCTCCTTTTACAGCGAAACGAATTCGTGCGACTAAATTTTTATTTTGTTTTTTTTTTCGTAATTGTAAGACACTTCGTATAGGCACCGCCCCGCATACATATGTATGCATGCATGTGTGTATCATAAATTCCCGCCCACGCAAGGCTCATTAATTTTGAAAGTTAAAAAAAAAAAATTCTTGTCTTTGACGTGGTACTTTTTTATGTTTTGTTTCTTGACTTTGTTTTTCTTGCGAAAAATCGAGAAGAATTAAAAATGTGTTGTTTAATGAAATGTACCAATTTGTGACTGCATAAAAGTCGATGAGCAGATTTTTCAGGAGAGCCTAAATAATTTTGTCTTATTTAGCAAACCTTAAATGGAAATTTTCACGAAGGCTTTTGCGGATTGTTTGTTTTTTGTGTGTTTAATTTCTATAAAACTGCGTAAATTGTTTTGGTAGATTTTATGTTATACGCAATTTATTAGAATAGTTAAATGCGCAAATGAAAAAAAATAGCATAACTGCATATTGAGTTTTTTTTATGATTTTTGCAGAAAAACACATATCTTCACTTTAGGGTGAAAAGGTGCCAAATTCGAATTTTTCGAAACTGTTCAGGAGAGATGAAAAATCGATGTAGTTCCGAATTACCTGCCATTCTGCATTAAAAACTAAATTTTGAAGAAAAATAGACTTGGCACCTTTTCACCTTTAGGTAGAGATATGTATGTAGCTCCAAGTGGTGGCACCGAATTTCGACCATAACTATTCGGTTTAGGCTATTATCTATTTTTCAACTAAACCGCGCAAGCGGGTGTTCCCTCTCTGACCGTGTGGAAGTGCTAGTTAGGTGTGTTATGTCACTTTATTCCTTTCCAGGATGGTTTATACTTAATCAATACTTAAGCTTTCTATGTCGTTAGCAGACTTGGAGATAAGTGATCCAATGCGTTTGAGCTTATATTTTTTACAAAGAAACTTCCTGCAAAAATTTCAGAAGCCAACAGGAATATTTTTCAAAAAATTTCTTGCAGCATAATCTGTGTTAAAAAAAAATACGCAAAATTTAACTGGTTTTTTTGCTTAGCTCGTGGAGCAAACCTATGTTTATACAATAAAAAAGTTATTTTTCCCTACATCATTATTTAAGCGTAATATAGGTATGTATTTCTTATCCCATTTTTAGAAGATTTTCTATATGGACAAGTTGCACACTACTTTTTGCTAATTTTCCTGTTTAATGTCCTCCTTTGGGGTTTCCAAAAGCAAAGCGTACTTCTATTTCCATACCATTTCCAGCATTCCTTAAATTTTTATTTTTGCGCCACAGCTAAGTTATCTACTTCGACTTCTTAGCTTCACAGTGAAGGATGTCGTCCCAATTGGTTCAATAGTTTCTGTAATCTGTTTCTTATTCAGAGGTGCATCCACCAAAAAATTATTCCAAGTTTTCAAGTTCTGAGGACATTGCCGAAATCGACCATTCTGAGCGCTGAACATTTCGTTTGACCCTTGTTTCCTAAAATAAAAGGACCACCTATAATTTTGTTCTGGACTTTTGTCCATTGCGATCTCTTGTATTCTTCCTTTGTAAGTGGGCGCTTAATCAAAGCACAAACTAAATTTTCTAAAAGCATATTTGATGTTTCCTTCTCGGTTTACTTGTTGGTGCGGCTATATACATATGTTGGACCCGAACCTCAACACTCGTAATGGTATGATTAATTGTTTCGAATAGAAACTCGAATTGCACTCGCTATCGAATGCCATACATATCTCAAAATACGAGTTCGATATCGAATGCCGCGATTCGGGCCCTGATTGCAAAACACGATTCTCTCCATCTCTCCAACCACTTTATTTCGCGAATGCCGCTCGTACACACATATGTAATTCTGATGCTCGTAAACCTTGAATACAGCAACGGTGAGTGGCCTCTTTCATTTGATGTTAGGTCGCTATTTAAAGATAGGCCTTCATCTGACCTTGGTTGTAGCTCTTTAAATATTTTTTTTTTTGATATTGTAAAATACTAACATATGTATGTATGTGCATTCATAGGTATATACATATGTATACATGCATACACATACATACATATCCATACATATAAAATAAATATTCGTCATGATTTTTTTTATAGTTTTTTTTTTTTTTATTTACTACTATTATTTTCCTGTTTTACGTTGAAATTAATGTTTTCTCTTTTCAAGGGTTAATCCAACTGAATTCAAGTACCGAATATTTGAATTTTGAATAATATTTTGATTACTTGACTTAAATAAACAACTATTTGTTGATTTCTTTTAATTTGGGTACTAATGTTTTTCATAAAAGATTTTTTGTTTTAACAGCCGAAGTCATTTATTTGTGCCTACTACCCTTTCCACCCCTTCAAGAAGATAAAATACTAGTTTTTGTTATTTTTTGTTTTTGTTTGTTTTAATAACGCTTTGGCATTTGTTGTTCGATCAGTGCTGCCGCTACGTTTTCACTCGATTTTATTTATTTCACTTCATCACTTTAGCTGACTGTTTTCCCTGATTAACGATTCTTTCATTACAAATGTGTGCTATGAGATACATTTTCAAAGATTTATTTTTTTCATATATAAAATAGCTTAAGTGTAAACTTAAGATACTAAGACTTGCATTATTCTCTGTATAAAATACAAATAGTGCACCACCTTCGCTGCTTTCAACATCGTTACATATTTTTTTTTGTTGCTTTTACATAAACATATATATAATTTTTCTAACTTGTTTTCTTTGCTTTTGTGTGGTTTTGAAATTATGTGCTTGTATGAGTGTGTGTTGTGTGTGTAAGTTTAATTCTTTGTGTGTCAGGATTGTTTTTCATTATTTTTTTTTTTTACTTTAACTTATACATAAAAATATAGATTTCATAAATATAAAGTAAATTTTAATTTCATAAATAATAAAAATTAAGCAGTACAAAATGTTTGGTGTTAAACCAACAAAAATAGTTGATGCTGTTGTTTATTATAATTTTGTTGGTTTACAAGCTGCCTAGGCTAAGGCCCTACTACTGCTAGCTTCTCCAAATCGGTCTCTCTGCCTCTCGAAAGCGGGCTTACTTGCCGAGCAAGATCTTGCGGCTAGCGCCAATGTTTTGGCCCGCCTGTGTGGCACCCTTGTTGGAACCGGCCTGCAGACCAATGATACCGTGACCAGCACGCATTTGTTCCTCGGAGAAGTCGCGCTTGCACTCATCGGCAGGCTTGGGTCCCAAGAATGGTCCTTTGAATTCGGGGTGCTTGTAGGCGGCACGACCGATAGCGAAGATGGTGTTGGTCACTTGTGCAATGTCCTTCTTCTCCCACAAATCAACAGTCTGGAAGACATCCAAATCGGGTACACCGTAGTTTATCAATGCCTTCTGGAAGTTGTTGATGTTTTCCATCATTTTGAATTGGCCACCGGATGAGTTGATCTTTGGCACGGAGTTGGGGGCAAGCTTGTTGATCAGAGCGCACAATACCTGTCCGTCCTTCAGATGGTCTTCGTAGGAAACACCGGCAGGGAATTTTGAACCAAGAATAGCTTCAACCCATTCCTGAGCTTCTTTGTCCATCTCGGGATTGCGCTTGCCAGCAATCTATGTGGAGGGAGAGAGAAAGGTAGAAGATATTAATAAACTTAGTCTGATAATAAATCTTTGGAAAGATATTTCAACATTTCGGGGGTTTTAATGAAGGTCGATTGATTATTTCGCAACAACTTAACAAAGTAAATAATTACTTAAAATTTTTTTTTTTTAAGAAATAAATTTTTTTAAAGCTCTCACTATATTTTAGGTTGATAGTTCGAAGAAGTTTACTTTAGTTGGTGGTTTTTGATACAAATTTACAAATTTATAGATATATAAATTTCGGTAACGAATTAGGAAAATTCGACATTTATTTAAAAAATTTATATATTTTAATAATCTTTTGACGCTGTAGGGAAGATAGGCAGTGACAAATTATCACTAGCCATTTTAATCCGCGCTGGCGATAATTCGAAAATGTTAACTTTTCTTCAAAGTATGTTTTTTTTGTAAAAACACATGCATATTTAGTTTATTTCACATTTTCTTATTAAAAACCATTTCAACAATTGCACAACGCAAATTTTATTTATTTAATTCAAATTTTTTCATTTCACCACCATTTTTCACTAATATTTTTTTTTTTGTCCATTTCACTTTTTTTTTCATTCAAAAGTATCCTTTTTCGCAAACTCTAAAATTGATTCGTCTTTGATATTCACCTTAGCACGAATAGCACGCTCAAGAGACATTTTGTGTGTGTTTTTTGTTTTTGTTAGGTTTTTGGAAAAATTTGAAGCTGCTACTTGTGATCCTCGCTAGTAGGAAAACTGTCTGTTACTGATGCCTTAGCTGGGTGTGTTGGCCGCTTATAAAGCACCCGGAGAGTCATTTGGCTCTGCTCAAAATTTCCACTAACAAAAATACAACAAAAACGATATATGTACGTACATATGTGATGAGCGTGAAATTGTTCATCTTGAAGCATTTTTCCAAAAATACCTGTGATGAGAAATTTTCTCGTTGCTCAGCAAATGACTGCCATCGCCATCGGACTTGGCCGTTGGCAAAGGAATCGCGTGGGCGTTGGTTGTACGCCACCATTGAATGCTCTGCTGGCGCAATGATTGTTATTATTGCTGTTGTTGTTGCACTTGTTTTTATTAAGATGAGTGTACTTATTTAATTTTAGCACAACAAATTCACACAACTTTTCGAAAATAGCCACCACTTGGTCTAATATTTTCCTCCCCACACCCCCCTGTCGCGTCTGGTCTACTCTTCTATCTGCGATATTTTCGAGTAGTTTTATGAAATTCTCGAGTTTTTATTAATTACGCAGCCACACACTCACTTCTCGTAAATGGATGGGCGAAGAATTTTTCTTTACATCTGGTATGGATTGTCCTATTTAATTAAAATGGGAAATTTTCAATTAGATTTGGTTTATTTCGAATATGAAATCTAGCGTAGCACTTTTCTATATGCATTGTGCCACAAAGAGCTTGTATTTTACATAAAATTGTTTGTGTTTCTTTGTGAAATCGTTTATTGTTTTAATATCATAAATCAAAAATTTTAATTGAAATGGTCGAAAATGTGGAAAGTTTTTACGAAGCATTTTTGAGAATGTTCTAAATTCGTACTCTGAACTGGGTTGCAAAGCTACAGTCGAGTTGGTTAATGTAGTCAAAGTGGTTTATGATGCTGAAAAATGCAATTGGGGTATTCACAACGGTGTCGTAAGTGTCGTTTTGTTGTACGTTGTAAACTTTAAATGCCTAAAAAATATATTACTGGACCTCGCAAATTACCATCAAAGTCATACTATGAATTTTCGAAGTGTTAAAAAATAGTTGATTGTGGTTTCAGGTTCAGGTTAAGCTTTTAAAGTTTACGACATACAACAATACGGCACTTACGACACCGTTATGAATCCCTCAAATGTAAAACTTTGCTGGTAGGTCTAGCGGTAGTGGTCTAATTATGATATCTTGTCCTACTTAAGAAAGGTTTTGGCGCTTTATTCAGCACGGAATTTGTCCCAGAACCTTATCCTTAAATTTGCCAGCAAACATTTTTTCAGTGAAAAAGTTTTGAATTCTGCATAATCGGGTATGACAACAAATTCTAGCCCAGCTACGAATTGCACGGTGATCGTGATCGGTCGCAGGGTCCATAGCCGCATATTTTCTAATTCAGCTGTGGTACAATAAATTCAATACTTGGTGCCTATAAAACAGTTAGGCATCCATTTTCTGCAAATTTTTTTTATCACCACTGTATTTCCATTAAATGTCTACACATTCTTTAATTTTTTTTCGGTTGGAAAATAAACATGAAATTTTTGATTTTCTCTCTCATTTATTCGTGTAAACAAAGTTACACTTTTTGATTTCTCTTATACATATGTATATGTATGTAAGTATGTATGTAAGTATATATGTTTAATTATAATTTTAAGTACGGATATGTATATATTAGACCGGGTCGGCCCCTACCTTCATATCGAGTCCTAACCGTCAAAAAGACGTGGTCGAAATTTTTTTTCAAAATTTTATTTTTGATGCAGAAATGCATCTAGGTTTTCTAGCAAAATTTATGCATCAAAAATAAAATTTTGAAAAAAATGTCGTGTACGTGTTTATTTCATGATCCAGATTAGTATGGAACACCTCTGAGACACGACCTTTCCGATGCAAAAATAAATATCGAAATCGGTTGACGTGGTCCAAAGTTATGCGGTAACATACATAAAAAAAAATATTCCGACGCACTGATAACCTCCTTCTTTTTTGGAAATCGGCTAAAAAATAAGTACTATTTTTGATCGAAAAATTAAAAATAATGGCTAGATTTTATCGAAAAGTAGAAATTCAATTTTAATGAAAAAAATTAAGATTTTTATTATAAAGATCACAATCGTTACGGTCGTTGCGTTTAATACTACAAAATCGGAGTTAGTTTTAAAATTTTATAAAAATTAGATTTTGGCTGATCTTGGGACTCAGGAAAGAAGAAAACTCTAATCACATCGACATATCCTAACTACTTCCTTTTCAAGCTAGGTGTGGTATGCATCAACTTTTTTTTTGTGACCTGGCTTTGTATAGAATCTATGTACATAATTATATATGTATGTATGTGTATGTATTTTCCTTCCCAGCAAAAAACACTAACACCACATAAATGAATACAGAATGTAATGAAATATTGGGAATCGCTCACCTTTTCCCTTTTAGAAGGCATTACTCTAACTTGGGCATGTCGATAGCCATAAGCCCTTTCAAACTACATTACCAATAAAGAGTAGGGTGTAGGAAGTTTGAAAAGATCTTATTTGCTTTCCCGGTAATCAGTAAAATGAGTGAAATAAATTTTAGACACAGTATGTCAAGTTGTGAACTCACAATGTACCATTACCAAGAATCGCTTACGCGAAGTGAAATTGTAATGGGGTAATCTATAGGAATGACTTCTAGAAGACATTACTACTAGAAGCGATTCAAGAATTTTTTGCTGGGTTATTTTCACGCTTAGTAATTGAATTTTTTCAACTTGTGCCGAAATGTATGTATGTATGCATATCGCTTTGTAAGGCAAGCATGTAGGCATTTTTATTTATGCGAATTCTTTTTTTGAATTTGGAGCAAATACCTTTCCACTGAGGTCACACTTTTTTTGCATTAAAATGCACTTATCCAAAATTATGCGATTGATGTATAGATCTGGCTGACATCATTGGAAATTTCTGATTTTGTGGTAATTTATTTCAGTGAATGTGTATCATTATGGACATATCAATGTATGTATGTATGTACACCTGCCAAAGAATACATAGCCTTGTGGTCAGGTGATTAAGTCAGATGGCATTTTGACTAGTTTTCGCTCATTTCCTTTTGTTTATTAAATGCTTATATTTATTAGATAAATCAACATTTCAAACTTCGTACAAATATTATGAAAATTCAACAATTATTAATATTTGCAGCAGAAAGTTTCAAACTTTTTATTCAGAACTTTTAGAAAAAATTTTAGGTATGCAATTTTGAAGCTCATTTTCTTCCATATAAAATATGCTCGACAATTTCGTTTGTTTGGGAGAATATGACTAGCACCATCAACAACAAAAATATATATATTAAAAACCAACGAGACTTTCTAGGGTCTTGAGATTTGCACTTCAACCTAATAAAATTTAATGGGCTATAAAAATGCATACCCAAACTTTTCCAAAAATTCTAAATAAATGAGTGCAAATGTCAAATTTTGTTGAATTTTCATAATTTTTGTACGAAAATATCACTAGACTTAATCAGCTGACCACAAGTGTATATGTAGGTAGGCACATTCTTCACGATATATATGTACATAAAAGTGTGTTTAATATTTTGTTTGGCCCTCAGTCTTACGAAGTATGATATAAGTGGGCGGTGCTACGCCCATTTTCCTAAAATGTTATGAGAAACAGTTTTTTTGCTATTGATGAATTCTTTAGCCAATCTGAAAGTCCGGTACATATACATATATAAATTCATTTTGAAGGTCTCGAAATCCCCTTTGCAAAACATGTTCGATTTTTAAAATCGGAAGAAAAATAGTCAAGCTGTTAATAGATAAGTGCATCAGGTACTAAAATGACGCCTTATTTTTCAATAAAATAAAAAGGGGGTGTTCAGGAGCTATAAAAAGCCTATTTTAATGTTGTATTCGGCCCTACCTGTAACCTGCACTAAATTTTGTTTCGGGTGTATTTCGTAATTTTTTTTTTTGTAACATCGTGTAATCATTTTTGGATTAAAGAGAATGGTACCTTTTTGGAAGTTTGATTCATCTATTTGGCATATTTTAGCAAAGGATGGTTGGCAGCCAGGCTATCCAGGACTTTGTTCGGTAGTTTTTAGGTTTTTTCGTGATTTACTTTCCGAAATGTTTAGGGATTTTTAGGAATTTTTTATTTTTTCTAGGCTTTTTGGAATTCTTCAAGCTTTTTCGGATCCTTTCGGAGTTTTTCCGGAACTTGTTTGGAGTGTTTTGGTCTAAATTTAAAATTCTATGAAATCCTAAAGAATAACACGCTTCAAATGTTATTATATTATTTGGGGGTTTGCTTTTTATTCGAGAATACATACTAGGTATGTCTTTGGTTTATGAAAGCATCGTATGTAAATTTTAAAAGATCGTCCCTGGACAGAACTAAGTCGCGCGAGTGTTTTGACGGCGAAAAAAGAAAAATGAAAACAACTGACAGAAAAAGACGCGTAAACATAGATTCATACCTGCAAAAGTGTAAGCGCCAAAATATTATATATTATTACCTATATAAAAAAAGTTATTAAAAATATTGAAAAAATTGCGCATTAAAACTTCAAGCACATGCCCTAGCATATGTAAAATTTAAATTTATTTATTAATTTCCCAAACAAATTTTAAAATTTTCTAAATATTTAGTAGTACACGTTATATCTCACAAATTTAATGCATATATACATACATACCTATAGTTGATAAACTGACGATTAAATTTCATATTTTCTACTGAATTTTTTCTTATTAATAAATAAAATATTTCTAACAGTTTCCGAGTGCCCAAATTAAGGCAAGTCCAGTTGCAAAAACTTCTCTGCGAAATTTTCGAGATATCGTGCCGATGAATTACTATTTTTATAAACATACAAATGTATGTGTGAACTCATATGAGTAATAATTTTTCAATTGCTTCATTTTCGAGATCTAGCGTTGAAAATCTATTTTTGCTTTGTTGAGGTGTGAAATGATATGAAGTGAGTAAGCGAAGCAGTTCTACTTTTGTATGCTTACGTGATTTTCGAGATATCGCGCGAAAAAAAATAATTTTTCGTTCG